TTTTTTTTTTTTTTTTTTTGAGTCGAAGTCTGACTTTGTTACTCAAGCTGAAATGCAGTGGCAGATCACAGTTCACCACAGCCTCAACCAAGGACCCATCTATACTAACTGAACTGACTATATTATGATGATAATAACTAGTAATTCATTCATTCATCCATCCAGGAAGTATTTACTAGTACCTACTACCACGTAGCAGGCATTATTTGCAGTGCTGAGGATATAGTAGTGAAAAAAAACAAAGGCCCTGCCCTCATAGAGCTTGCATTCTAGTTTGAAGAAGAGGGATACAGCCAACAAATAAATATATACAATGACAAGTGATGACAGAATGCTATGGGAGAAAGATGAAATGGCAAGGGAAATATGGAATGTCAGGAGGTAGTAGTTTATCAACGGCAGTCAAGGAAAACATATCTGTAAAGGTGATATTTGAACCTCATTTGATATTTGAGGCCTGAAAGACACATGACTCACTGGGGAAATGCCCAAAAAGAGAACTTTTTGTGTGACTAGCAAATGCAAATTACGTAAGGCAGAAGTTGCTGGTGTGCTTGAGAAAGGCTAGTGTGGCTAGAACAGGGTAAGGAGGGAGAGTGGCAAGGGATGCGGCCGTAGAGATGGGCTGGGTCCTGTAGGGCTTGGAGGACCACTGTAAGCATTTGAGCTTTGATTCTGAGTGAGACACTTGGTGAACAGATTCATCCTTGCCTTTAGGAAATAGGTTATACCAGGGTAGCAAGATCTGCCATGCCCATATTACCATTCTACATTTTAGATGGTCACTACCTAAGACTCATTACTAATTATAATAGTAACAATAATAATAATCACAACTAACCTTTAGTAAGCCTTCATTACACTCCATATCCCCAGTGTCCAAAACAGTGGCTGGTATACCACAGATGCTTAATAAATGCCGATTAAACAAAGGAAGAAGACTCAAGCTAGAAGAAAAGATAGAGAGACACTGAGAATTGTCTCAGACAGAGGACACAGCATGACCAAAATCTAGGACATGGGGAAGTACAAGCAGTTTGGATAGAGGGAGGAGGCTTGAGGTAGGAAATAAGTGAAGTCACCTTGTTAGGGCCCTGAATACCTGGTAAAAACTATCCTGATTTCCCTGGAACCAGATGCTGTCCCCGCCACTCGCCTTCTAGCTCTGCCCCGGCTGCTCATACCCTGAGCCCTCACCTCACCATCCTCCTCAATTCCTTTTATTTTAGAGATGGAGTCTCACTATGTTGCCCAGGCTGGTCTTGACCTCCTGGGCTCAAGTGATCCTCTCGCCTCAGCCTCCCAAGTAGCTGGAACTACAGGCATGCATCATCACCCCTAGCTCCCCAACTCCTTTCTTTCTTCCTGCCCACAGGGCCTGTGAACTCGGAGCTGTTCCTGCGCCACGTTCCTGGATGGCTGCGCCCACTTTTGCGCCCATTGGCTTGGCTGGTGCTCCGGACACCGAGAGGGGGTGCCCAGACACCCCTGTACTGTGCTCTACAGGAGGGCATCGAGCCCCTCAGTGGCAGATACTTTGCTAACTGCCATGTGGAGGAGGTGCCCCCAGCAGCCCGAGACGACCGGGCAGCCCACAAGCTGTGGGAAGCCAGCAATAGGCTGGCGGGGCTGGAGTCTGGGGAGGATTCTGAAACCGATGAAAACTCCCAGCCTGAGGACCGGGAGGCCCTATCTTCTCTGAGCACTCCCCACTCCAGGGAGCCCACAGTTTCCAAATCCCACCCAGGCCCTCAGAGCTCACCAGATTTGTCTAAGGTGACACACCGAGTTCAAGTTAAAGCTGAGCCTGAGACCCAAGTCTCCTAAGCCCCAAGCCAAGGTGCTTTTCCATGGTACTTCGTGGCCCTTAAAAACAGCTGTGTGCCAAGCCATGCCCTGGGCATAGAGGAGTTTGCGATTTTTACCTCCATGGTTACTTTCTGGGGTCCCAGCTCTTTTTCCTGGTTGAAGGAATAGCAGGTGATAATTTCTTCCTGAGAGTGACAGTAACCAGTAACCCCAGAAGGAGGGGTGGGGGATAATACGTGAGACACTATGCGTCTCAAGAACTTGAGTTTTGGATTACCAGGCCCCACCCTCAGTGATTCTGATCAGCTCTAGAACAGGGTCTGGGAATTTGTCATTTGATACACTGCCAACATTGAGAATTACTGAACTGAGCCCTCTGCAACCATATAGCTAGGTAGTTAACTTACCCCCGTGTTAAAGAGGCAGGATTAGGTTCCAGAGATAAAGGACTCGCCCAAGGTCTCAGTAAGAGCAGAGACTGGGATTTGAACCCAGGGGTCTGAGGCCAGGGCGTACTGCTGTAAGGTGATCTGGGAGGTGAGTCCCGGCAGAGCAGTTGTTATCCAGGTGCCCGCTGGAAGAAGGGGGACGCCTTCGGGCTGCTTTGGGGCTGGGCCCCGCGATCTGGATCCCCTGGAATAAAGCGCGTGGACTGCCGAGGCTACGCTCGCTCCCGCCTCTCTCTACATGCCGGCCCCGCCCT